CCTGAAGAGATAGGCAAAATAATGGCTTTGCAAATATTGCATCATATGAAGCCATTGGTGATTTTTTTTTCATTGGAGGCTGTCATGGTTGACTAAAAACAGTCTCGGTATCTAAAATTTGTAAATTATGTAATTTCGCTCTGTGGCCTTTACCAACTCTGCAGGTTTACTCCAATAACAAATTCTGAACCACAAAATGTTTGTGTTTTTTAAGATAATACACTAAATGTACCTGTCAAAGCACCATTGGACTCTTCCGGGGTTGCTTCTGTAAACGCATCTGAAATGGCAAATACCTGGTAAGTTTTCCTTCATTATTCATAAACACATGCATAAAATAATAGTTGAATTTTGGGTTTGGATATCTCAGCTAGCACAATGGGTATCTCACACTGAGATTTATTTCAAACAAATTGCTTTCATCACAAAACGTGGGTTTTGTCATATATCGACGTACGCATGAGTGTAGCAACATTTCTTTGTGCGCTCTGGTTGTTCCAAAAATTGAATGAGAGTAAAAGCCATATCCAAACTTCGACTGAACGGATGGTGGTCGTTTATCTTTGGTGAGCCTGGTAACTGGATTGAAACTCTTTGTCGATGAAGCATATTTATGGAGCATATAAGTGCTCACTGATGCTTTCTCATCGACCGGGTGCGAAACTCGGGCAGATGAACTACAATCTCATCAATCAACGGTAGATACACCTGAGTTACATATATTTTGACAGATCTGCGGTAAGATCTGGATGAAAAGTAGATGTGTTACGCAGCTCCACTGATTCCAGAAATAATGCTTTTTGCATGAATATAATTCAGGCCATAATACCTGACTAGGGTGCAGCACTGACTCTGCAACCGGTGCCACTTGTTGACGCAGCCATGGATACCCTATGCGAACAAAGCCACCATTTCAAACCCAAACATAATCACCCAAATACCCATAAATCAGAAACGGGATGGAATGAATCGGTTATTCTTGGTCTCTAATAGCATTTTTTGGGTGAAAGTGAATGAACGGATGAATGCACGAGAACTTTGATTTTTTTAATCGAAGCCGAAATACGCCATCGTCGACGACACCGCAACAATTATACGAGACTTCATTTCAGGCGAACAACGCGCACAACAACACAAGATTCGGTGTGCTGATAACACCCGGAAAAATTCTGCATTTCATGATGAAGTCAATATTGAGCGAACTATGTTTGGGCACAGTAGACTGAAACATTTTCGAAATCCTAAGCACTGTAATTGCCATGTTTAAAAACAGACGAATTCCGCCGAAAAAGTTCGCCGTGTGCTAGGACCATTAAACAATGCCACGCTGAGTGCAGTAGTGTGCTTGATGTGGACCTCAAGCCTCAGCGCCTCAGACGATTGGGGGTTCATTGGCAGTAACCATATTTTCAATCCCTTATTCCAACTCATTGTGCATAAAATTCCAATCAGTCAGTGGAATTTAACTTTACAATTATGGAGCTCGAATGGAACCACGAATACTTCTACTCTCTGTTGTGTCTTTAGATAGGAAATACGTCCCTTTTAAATTTTCAATTAATCGATGCAGTACTTGGGGTTAACTTGAGTAGCTTGGAGCATTACGTATTTTTGAGCCAACCCTGGAATTCTGCTGCAGTGGTGTCTCATGCATAAAAAGACAGATATACTTCGACAAACAAGAAGAACTGTAAAGAAAAAAATTGGGGCACGCAGAAATGCAACTCAATGGATGGACTAATTTTACGTCTACTCTCAGATCAGCGTGAAAAATTCGAATTTCATACGTAGCCACTATTATCCTTCCATGCTTAGAGCAGCGACAAACTATCAGTATTGACAAATGCGATTAACAGCAAATTAGTCTACCTTTTATACCCGCTACCACGCAATCGATTTTAGATGCCTTACTGAGGGCGGAAATGCGGCAATTACCAACTTATAATCCGCAGCAGCTGCTGCACTTGTCGAGCGATCAGCAACGCGGTTAACTAACGCTTGGATTGGAAATAAAGATGACCGAAATTAATCACACGATTCACATCACGCAGTTGCAAGTGGTGGCAGGCTTCTTTGGCAAGGAATTCTCAATTAGAGCTTTCAAGTACTAAAGGACGTTTATCAACCATTGTGTTGTGTGGGGAGATATATGGACATTCATCTTGTAAGTAAGTTCAAGCTGAAATGCAAACAAAAGTTCTCGATTTTCCAAACACAACAAAGGTACTTCTTCTTGCTAGTCACGAAACAATGCTCAACATGGAAAATCATGGACGAACTGGAAGACAATGAACAGAACCCAAAACTTTGTCCCGCCCTCTGAATGTAAATCACACCGAAATAATGGTAACCAAAATTATGTCCCTCTGCGAAAGTTCACGACCACTCAACTTTTACAGTAAGGACTACCAGGAAATGAATGGCGCGGGTTCACTTATTCAGACCACCAAAATAATGCACACTTATCGTCACCGCGATGAATCATACTAACCCGAGGAACACCGGGATTCAGCCATGCAAATACGCTGCGGAAAACATACAAAGAAAACCTCAAAGGAGCCAAACATCCAACTGGACGAAATTGTGAGTTTCCACTCCCAGATTTAATTTCTAAACAGAGAATTGGAAATGAAATTTTGGACATCTTCTGATGAGCCAACGGATCTTTGTCGGATTGGACCCTCTTCAGACTGAGTAAAGATTTCACTCTCAGTGGACAAATCCATAAATGAATCGAAGCAACACCACCCTGTACTGCGGATTGAAAGTTCAGTGATGAAGTTAAAGTACGGAAGTTGAATTTATTCCACCACAAGGCATAAATCGAAGGATACAAATTCGCTTCGTAGGGCGCATTTCGTGCCATCATTTAGAGCCAGGTTTGGCGAACTTGTGGAATAATAGATGATGTTATCATTCGTAGTGAATAACTCAACCTGATATGTTTATCATGGAGGAATAATAATTGCGTCTGAATCTCGAAGTTTTTGAACCTGGCAGGTGGCATGTGTGCCACGTGAAGCGGAAATTAACATTTCCGATATCCAGCAAACCGATCAAGCCTATATACACAGCTCAGTAATCGATACCTTTATGCATGTTGAATGTCTGTTCTGGATAACAAAAGCGGCCCACATCTATAGGAAATAGTGAATTTCAGTAAGGCGACTCAAAAAGCAATGTGTCATTTTATTTGTCGATTGCTTTGGTCGCAATTTACTTTTTTCCAGAAGGGAAAGGCTATAATCTGGACCAAGATATCTTGCTTGTAAAAGAAAAGCTACAATAACTCAGTGTGTTCTTTGCACTTTCAGTTTGTTTGAACAGGAATTTAGATAACAGATCAGAGATTTAGAGGAAAGCAAGCATCTATGCAATAACTGTAAATCTGACTGCATGCTCTGCCTTACGCTTATCATTTTCCTGATGGTTTCATGCCAGCTCATTCAGCATTGTTCCCGCCTGGAAAATATTCCTACCATTTGGGATCCAGCACCAATATGCCAATGGTCAAACTGGATAAATTTGTAAGTGAAAAAGTCGTTATCATACAGTCCACTGGGATCGTATTAATTCTAGGCTATAGTGATTTCCGCAAGTGTATCGTGTGAACGCTAAATTTAACAAAGCAGTTGCTTCCTGCGTCTGGTCACCACATAGACTCCCCAGTGGTTATTATCTGGTAAGTCACGAAAAATCAGCCGACCAAGCTAGCTATATGTGCTGCAATGCATGAATCAGATAGTACATAACAAAGCGGCATCCAGTGTAGCAACGAACATTTAATGGCACAGGAGCTCTTCCTCTGTTTCTACTCACTTCCTATGATGTAACTAATAAACGAATAATAACCGGTACTGCTTTCATTTTCGCTAATCGTTTTGCGTGCAAACTGATTCCACTTATTCACAAGTTGTTTTGTTTTCAATTAGACAACCAGGGCAAGACAAAATCTGACTGTGCAAAACAGCAAAAAATTATCATGAAAAATGGTGCTTTACTAACATGATAAATCACCAATCAACACGGTTTTCTTGTGCACAAAATTTATATAATTTTGAAAGTCCTGTGAATTATCCCAATATTCTCTTTGTGCGTCTTTGAAGCACATTATGCCAACGCAGAATGTGGGAGCGATATATACTCTTTATACTGTGATATATGTCGATCCCACTCAAAAGAATGCTCGTGCAAGATGGTCCTAAAGACTAAGCAAATTAAGACCACATTTTCATTCCTAGATTAACGCTACCGAAATAAGCCAGTGAGCTCACTTTTTAACGTGGAAACAATTCTTCTAACTAATCCGGGTGTATCGAGTAAAATCTGTGTTGCTGCATCTCTTTAACTACCCATTTCCAGCTGCAGCAACCCTAAACTTTTTCCTTAAGTGAACGCGACGGTTTTGCATTTCAGATTTCCTTTGCCAAGAAAAAGAATTATTGTGGTTAAACTGCCTATTTAAGAATCGTTAGTTAATGTTTTATCTGCTGGTCCAAACAACCTTCTACTGTGGTGCTGAAAGCTTTGGTTATCAAGCTTGAACCAAGGATGGATGATTAACATGTTGTAATTCTGTCCATTTATCCCCCGCAGAATAACAATATGCTGGTGTCTAAGCTGGCGCAGCGCTGCACCCAACTGTCAGCTGTCCGTACTACCACGCTTTGATAGCGGTGGAGTTGTTTGTAATGTGCTGGCGCATTATCTTACAAAAAGTATGGCAAAATGTGACCAGCAAATTGTTCAATATGTCGAAAGTGTGGGAGTCTATAAGATGACAAATATGATGCTAGCAATCATGTGGCAAGTTTCTCTGATGAAGTAGTCAAACGTATCCGTTTAAAATGCGCTGGTTAGAACATGGCCACGGTGACCAGGGAATAAACGCCCCGCAAAATCTCGCTTTTCAACACCGATTGAATTTTGAGTAGTTTTATGTCTATAGAAAATCATTTAAATACTTCAAAATAATCTATCAACCTTTATATATTTCTTAGGTCTCGGGATCCAACTACCAGTTTAACAACATGCCGGGTGACATATCGAATCCCTGAAACGCTTACGCCAAAATTCAATTATTAACATCGTAACAACACGCTGGTTGTTTCAAGTGGAATAACGGACTTCATAGGAGAATGAATCTTCATGGTCCTATCCTGTGTCCAACTTACAATAGTAAGGCACCTAGACCCTTCATGGGTAAGAGAGAGATGTTTCCAACTGATCACCTTTTGGGTCCGAGATTGCCCGTATTTAATAATAAGCATAATTGTTCATAAACGTTCCCTCACGCTAGCTTAAAAGTTGTCACACCTGTGGTATTTGTTCTCATTTGTGATGAGTAACTACATTTATTTGAAAAAACAGCAGGGGTTTAGGAGGACTCTTGCTTCTACTCCCCGATTACTTTGGGCTGTTTCCCAGTAGCCCGAAGCCTGCCCTACAGTAGCAAAATCGTTCAACGAATAAATTTCATGTTTATTGTTCTTTAGAGCAGATGATTTTCTAAACATAAAACAAACTGGAAACAGCACCAAATAAGCTTGTCCTGGAACACATGCCTGATACATAGAAATATTGGAAGCCTCTTTGTGATTCAGGTATTATACGCGAAATAATTAGACACCATTCATTTTGGCGCTTGGAAAGACGTCAAAATCAATCATTTCATTAGCTTGCGTCTATTAATTTTGTTGTCCTGACGTCCTCCCGTTTTCAAAGAAGCAAGAATTTCTTGGAATCACAGCACGGGAGGTTCACAACCTAATCGTTTTAGGGGACACATATTTTGATGATTTCAACGAACTTTTTTTCTGCAGCGCGAGTAATGAGCTCGTTTTCGGTTAGTATTTACACAAGGTCAACGATAAAATAAATATTTTTTGGACGCGCAGCCAGCTTTATGCTATGCGCTTTGAACCTATTTAAAGGGCTCGGATAAACATCGGAAAACGTCCGCGGATTTATTGCAACATGCTAATCGTACAATTAAGTAAACGCGTATATCTATTACACAAGCGCATTTGTTCAAGATGCTGTTCACGATCTATTGCATCAGGATGGTTATGTTTCAGCAATTAATTGGGCAATACTGGTTTCATAAACAGACTTGGAATTCAACCATTCTGTTAGAGTCTATAGTTAGTTAAATGGTAAATTGAGCCGATTTAGGCCACGCAAAATAAAATATTTGTTGCGAAAGTTTACCACTCGCATTAGTCCCACGGTTTGGTCAGTTATTCAACGACAAGATATTTTAAGTGAGCAAGAGTGACGAGGAATATATCAGTCGATCAAATGGGATAATTTTGCCGCGAAACCAAAATCTCAAGGTCAGGTGTTGTAGATTTTCTTCATTATTCTAACCCGTACATAGGTCTTTTACCAGATTTTTATACTGGATAGCTGCTTTTCACGGTGCCAAACAGGCTTTCATTTCTCCAGTAGGCCTATTTAGTGCTAGCCCCAGTTTGTAGAGCGTGCTTATTCCTCATCTACATAGTGGTTCCGTCCAACGTTCCGCCACTGTTCAACGCTTCCACAGTCCTATCTGAACTACCAGCCCACATAGGTATCTTAATACAATCCATAGTTCTCCTACTACCCTAGAACTCTCAACTGCATTCCACCAAATAAATCATTCCCCAACCTGCTCCGAAGTTTCTCATTATGTCACCGGTCCCGTCTTCCTCAAAGCGGTCGCTAGACCTCGAATCCCCATCAACTATCCTCCCGGCTTGTTCAGAGAAGCGGTTTAGATCCAGAAGATCCAGCTCCCAACCCCTCACCGCCCGAAGCCGGCAAAGACAGCATCCCAGGCAACCTTAGATTGTTCAGTTGTTCTAACTAACATATCCTTGCCTCCTCAACCCGGCAAAACTCTCTCACCATTGCCAGTAGGTTCTGAAGTCCTAATGACCTAGAAAATCTCAAATGCGCCAAATGGAGAACGAAACGTCCTCCGTCCGAACAACACAATCGATTGCATGCCTTCTGAATCCTGACGCAACATGCAATCAAACAAACTTAGAAAAAGCGTCACTTCTCACTGACACCATAGCTACTGAGATTGGTCAACGCATCGAATGCCGGCATCAAATATTAATATTCAATGCATCCGATCGAATCCATCTTGAGCATGCCAAAACTGCCAAACTGAATGCATGTGGCATGCAGGACACCATATGCAAAGCTCGGCGACTCCGGAAGTCGAAACCATCCATGTGCTTCCCGATAGTAATGCAATTCCGGGAAGAAAAAGATGCTGCACGTCTGCTAACAGCCCGGACTCTTCTCTCATCTACCAAAAAATTTCATACCTTAAAACTTAAAGCTGCTCGCACAAGAATGCAAAGGCAGCATACCAAAAAGTCACCGGAACCTGTTGCATCGTCACCCACCATTACTTGCCCTGACAAGTGCCACAATGCCACACAAAGCTATCTGTTGGACCCAGGTCCTGTACCCTACGCTCATGACCATGAGCCCTCCACTCATATCTCTGAGCATCCACAAATGTTATCTCCGACCTCCACCACGCCAACTAGATCGACTGATTTAGGTGATACGGCAAATAATCAGCCCACCCATGAGGCTGTGGTGGAGATTGATAGCACAGGTTTTCACTCTAGACCTCCTGACCTAATGACACTTCGTGTCTCCCCACCAAAGCGCTTCCTTGGACTCAAGCACCTGCTGTCGAAGCCTCGCACCGTAACCCCTTCTCCTGTACCAACTCCCCGAGCTTCTGCTCTTCGCCCTTTTCATAATCACATCTGTAGACCCTCTAGCCGTGCTACTCAGTTCCCTCGCAGGGTCTCTAAACCACAACTACCGTTACGTAATCCTAGACCCTATCAAGTTCCGCCCCTCTGGAAACCTGCGTACTATATACCTCGGATCCCTTTTCAGCAACTACCTACTCCACCACAGCCTCCGCCCCATCAGAAGCCAGGTGCACCCCCACCTCTTTGGCTGTACCACCACCTTAAGCTGTACCCCGACTTCCTACTCCAAACCCCCTTCAACTACAGCCAACGCAGAGAATTTCTGCTAACTCCCAACGGAGCTCACCCCTCCCAGAGAGTTTGATTATACCACTAGCTTCCTCACTGCACCATGTCCTCTCTCCTCACCTCGCATCTCTTACAATAAATCCCTTATTCCATCACCTCCAATCAACCCAGTTTGGTTACCCGTTCCATCCGCCCCCTACGATTCGATGCTAAAGGCTCTACAAAACAGATCCACCCGACCTCTCCGTGCCCCTGTTTTACCCTCTCACTCCCTGTCTCTTAAACACTTTTCCTGCCCTTCCGCCCCGCGTGACCTAAATCCCGCTCTTTCTGTTGAGCTACCACACACGGTTACACCTCCTGAGTATGTCGGTTACATTATTACAAACGATTGCCCGGCCCAGCCTGTTACTCTTTCTCTATGGAGCTGCGCTACCTCCCCTGCCACCCAGACGCTGTCTCGGTACCCATCGCGGTACGCCCCATCATCTTGTTCTCATGTATCTTTATCTGGTCCTACTTCGCCTGCTAACGCGAGGACCCCCGATTCCCCTGTTTCTACTCCATTCCATATTGACTTCCCTGGGCTTGTCAACTTCTTGCTAGCCACATCACCCGCCTTCCCCGATCCCGCTAGCAATCTTTCTGTCGTTCTAATCAACACATGCTCTCTCTTAGCTAAATTGCACTACATATAACCTGTCTCCACTATACCTTGTCCAACCTTCATTTGCATCACAGAAACGTGTCTCTCACTTAGCACACCTGATGCTCTTATCTCCCCACCGGGATATACTATCTTCCGTTCTGATCGTTCCCACCGCCGTGGAGGTGGCTGCCTCATATACGCCAGGACTGATATGAAGTCTCCACCATTGACGATCCACTACTGGCGAACACTCCAGACTCTTTTTGGCTTTCTGCCTGTCAGGCTAATCCACCGTTCATCCTCGGGTGTTTGTACATGCCCCTCCACAGTTTATTAGTTCGATTAATCGTCTATCTACGCTTCTTTCTCACAATCAAGCTCTATCTCACCCGAACAAACTAATTGTTAGAGATCTCAACCTTCCTGAGATTGTCTGGTCTCGACAAAACTCCCCTTTGCGCCTTCCGCCCCTGCTTACATAACTTAATGTCGAAGGTTGGTCCCAGCTTGTAAGGCAACTAACACGCGGTACCCACACCCTGGACATTGCCCTTGTCAACGGCTATCTGTGTCCCACCGCTGCACTTGCTCCGAAGTTTCCTGACAGCGACCATTGTGTTGTAACTTGCAGCTAGACAAGTACTCTACCTTAAGCTACTCTTCCTCCCTTAACCTCTTTCATCCTTTCCCCGGGCATTCTTGAAGCCTTTGCAATCTCATTGCGTCGTAAGACCTGGGACGAGTTCTTTCTCTCTGGTGACACGCAAAGCGTAGCTAACATCTTTTCAAGTAACTTACAATTGTCATTATACCTCGTTGCTCCCACACGAGCTTCCCATGCTTCTGGTCGTCATCCAGCCACACGACTACCAACTACACGCCATAAACTCAGGAAGTATCGTAGGCTATTCCTTGAATCCCATGATCTCTCCCTCCTTATTGTGATCAACAAACTTATGACTGATATTACCACGGCCAAACTCGCCCTTGAAAAGCATGAGGAGTCGACCGCCGTAGCCCATTTCCTACAGCCTAAGATGCTGGGGCGCCTCTTCCGCCGGCGTTGCTTCTCAAATTCATCTGCAGTTTCAAATATTGTGGCAGCTGACGGGAAACCTCTCTCAGACCCTGCTGACATTGTGGAATCCCTAAACTCCTACTTCGCTAGCTGCTATGTTCCCTCCCCATTGACTCTATCTACATATTGCTCCCCACCTGGCTATGAAGTGGCCACATCTGCTAACGAGACAAGCCCCAACCTCTGCACACTCTCCGTTACTTTGTCTGATGTAACTTCGTCTCTCGCCCGCCTTAGAGACTCCAGGTTCCCAGGTACTAGCGGTATCCCTTCGTTTATCTTAAAAGCTGGTGGCCCGGACGTCCCCATCGTCATCCTTAATCTCTTCAATATCTCCCTTATCACTGGCACAGTCCCTAGTCATTGGAAGCACTCTACGGTTGTCCCACACTATAAGTCAGGTCCACGAACTGCTCTAGCCAGCTATCGTGGCATCCACCATACCTGCTTACTACTTCGTACCCTAGAGCGCCTCATCAAAGTTCCTGTCATGGAATACCTGCTCGCCACCAAAACCCTTAGCAATCGGCAGTATGGGTTTATGGCACGGCGGTCAGCTAACACATGCCAGGTTGACTTCTTCCATCATATTTCTTCCGCCTACGATACAGGACTGTGTATTATCCTTACCTACATTGATATTCGCAAGGCCTTCGACCAAGCTCCCCACGGTGCATTCCTCAATAAACTACCAACTGCGGGGATTGGTCGCCCACTACTGCGATGATTCGCTTCTTACCTCACCGGTAGAACCTAGGCCACAAAAATCGTGGATTTCTGCTCCTCAGCCCTCCCCATTACCAGAGGAGTTATTCAGGGTAGTGTGCTTGGCCCTCTGCTGTTCTTACTGTACCTTAATAACGTCACCGACTCAATCACCCATGGATCCCCTTTTGTGTTTGCTGATGAAATTAAGGTGGCTTACACGTTCAAGGCCAGCGATTCTGCTTCTACCCTTCCTAACATTCAGTCTGAATTAAACTCTTTATCACTCTGGTCTTCCAACTCCCGTCTTTCTTTCGCTGTTCCAAAATGCCAAGCCCTGTCATATTGATTCCAAATTCCACCTGGGACGCTTACCCTTAACGGTCTCTCCATTCCTACTCTTCCCGAAGTGAGAGACCTAGGCCTTAGGTATTCCTGTACATTTAGCTTCAACCAACATGTAAGGTACAGAGTGGCTAAAGCTCGCAAGCTCTGCGCTTACATTCGCCGATCCTTCCATAACAAATCCTGTTTAATTGCCATTTTTAAACAATTTGTAAGACCAATTCTTGAATCCAGCCCTGAATTCGCCTCACAGTATTCACAAACATGCCGGACTGCTGTGGAGAATGTGCAGCGCTCGTTTACTAAGTCCCCGTTTCCGGAGTCATCCACACTACCGTATCGTCTTCGCTGCTCATCACTTGGACTGGATCCATTATGGCTAAGGCGCATCAGGTTGAATCTAGGCC